ATCATCTTATAAAGAAGATGTTAATGATGTACAAAGTTATCATATAAGCATATATTTAAATTAAGTTCTAAATTATTCAAACAAAATGATAATTAAGAAGCTTAAGTTAGACCTTAAAGATTAACTTGAGTTTATAGAAAAAATTAATGAAACACTTATGCACGAATAACTAATATTAGAAACCTAAGTGATGTGAAATGTATGTCTCAATGAAAAAGGGAGTAAAATATTTATATGAAACCCTAATGAAATTTACTAAGAAGAAAGAAAACCTTGACTCTTCCTTCAACTTTGATTGCAACCTGAGTAAATCAGTCTATGTATGATCTCAGGCTCTTTGTTGCTCCCTGCATGATGCAACTGAGTGCGGCTATAGTAATTGGTTGTCTCTTCCACACATAAAAATGCAAAGTGATTCGATCATAGAAATCAGTCCACGACTTAATGCATCACTCAAGAAGTCTGTTGAACCATAGTTGTGTTGGTCCAACTAGTGTTAACACTAACAAATTGTATTTGGAGGTAGCATCAACGCAATAGTAGTTAAGTAAAACGTTGGCAAGTTGCATGTGTTCGTCTGGAACTCCTTTCCCGCCATATTCCTCAATCTTATGAGGTTTTTGCATGAATTTAGGGATTTTGATCTCTAGGGTTCGTGCATATAGAGGATGTTAGGTTGTGCTCGGTTTGTTTGATGATCCTCACAGTCTGGGGAAAGAGTGTAACTTCATCGGTCTCCTCCCAAGCTATTAAGAGGAGAATAATATTTACCACCTTTCGAGTGTTCCTTCAATTTCTGGACTTTCTTTTCTTCTTTTGCTTCAGGTGGATCTGGTTTTTCGGTTTGATTTCTCCTCGAATCGGCCTCTTGCAATGTATTTACTCCGAGATGAACATTTTGGAGGCTTTCTTCCAAACAAAGCAATTTCTCCCCCACCACCTTAGAGTTTTGTTGTTAAACGAGGTTGTAATTAAATGTCATTAATCAATTCATTCGAGCCTTGAGATCATGGTTTTCCTCAAGAATGCCAAAACTTGCAATATCTCAAGTAGCTCCCTAGGATTTGGAAGTGGGATCCGAAGGTAAATGGAGAATCGCGTTTGGTTGCTGACGAGCATTATTTTTTAGGTTTGTTTCGCAGTAGGATGAGTAATGTTCGGTCGATTGGTGGTTGATGGTGCCACACCAGCGGCCGCCAAAACACCTTCAAGCACGGTGGCGGAATGATTGGTCCTCGATCCATCCATTTCTACGAATTAATGATGTTCGAAAGTATCGAATAATTAATATCTAGAGAATCAATGTCTCTTTATCGGAGTTGAACTTGATTTGATAGATTCCAACCGTATTTCCTTCTATCTAATGAATCTTCTGGTTTGAAGTCGAGGAGAGTCTCGCACTTGAGGAAGTACTTGGAAATAGGAAATCGTAAGATACACATGAATCAAATATTGATCCTCAGATACGGTGTCACTGCTCCGTACTGGAACCAGAAATATGTGAAGTCATGGAAGTTACGACGGAGGAGAGCTTCTGATACGATAGAGCGAGGGTGTACCTATAAAGTTAGCACTTCAACGCTTAAGTCAATATGTGAAAGATGAAAGAGTATTCAAAGTGCGTTTGAAATTTATCACTTAAAATCACGTCATCCGCATATATAGAATAGTCAAATAACTAACTTGCTAACTAACCTGCGTAAAATGTGGGGGGACAGTTGGATACGTTGAAGGGATGAATCTCTTAGTTCTAGATTATTGGAGGCTCTGTGAGAAAGTGAACGTTCCAGAAGTTTTAGTATGTTTTTGAGGTGGATCTTATATTTTACAATTGAAGGTAATTGGTTAAAAAGAGGAACATGCTTGGATTGAATCAATTCGGGGAGCTTTTTCCTTACTATGGTAGAATCTCTGAAGATGGGGTCAGATTGACGGGGATATGGCCGACCTAGAACAATATCTAAGGAACATAAAGGTTTTATAAAAGGTAGAAACATCATGGATGGAATTTATTTTTCCTCTTTGGATGGGATTTATGTTGCCTCTAAAGCTATTAACCTCTTGGATAAAAAGCCTTTAGTGGCAACATGTCAATCAAAGTAGATGTGTCTATAAAGGCTTTTGACACCTTGAATTGAGATTCTTTTTCCTTAGAGTAATATTCTGGTTTGGTTCCAATCAAATGTTTTGCAACTAAATTTTTGTTATCCTTTATTTTGGTCATATGTCTTTGACAAAATGGATTCCTTCATGGTTACATCAAAAATGCGGTAAGGGTCAGAAAGTATGACACTCTTTCACATATACTATTTTACTTATATGAGGAAGTACTTAGTAAGAGTATCTCATTGTTGGTGAGTGAGGGTAAGTTGGATCTTATGAAAGGTTGAAGGTCTGGTCATGTCTCATCTCATACCTTATATGCATATGACATTTTCATTTTTTGCAAATGAAGCATTGCAAATGTTCAGATTCTTTTTAAACTTTTCTTTAATTATGCCTAAGTCTTTGGACAAATTTTTAATAACGCCAAATAAAAAATTTATGATGGTTATATGCCTAAAGTTAGACTTATTCAAATCCTTCTTTTTAATCGACTTCACAAAAGGATCTTTGCATTTTAATTATCGAGAGGTCCCAATTTTCAAAGGTAAAGCTAAAAAGATGCATCTGCTTCACATTGATGATAAAATGGTTGCAAAAATTTCTGCTTATAAAGGATCACTCTTATAAATGGAAGGAAGAACTCTCCTAGTCCAAACTGTGATTCATGGTATGGTCACTCATTCTCTAAGTGTCTACTTCTATCCTTTATCCCTCCTTAAATCCATTGAAAGAGTGACTATAAATTTCATATGGAGTGGTGAAGTTCACAAAAGAAAGTGTGTTATTGTTGCCGGGAAGAAGGTGTGCAGACCTAATACAAGGGTGGACGAGGTTTGAGATATCTATTGTGTCTCAATGAAGCTTCTAATCTAAAGATGAGGTGGAAGTTTTAAACTAATAATGAGGATTGAGCAATGTCGCTTAGAGACATGGTTTACAGACCAACTGGTATCATAAAATACCACATATTTTCTTCAATTTGGTATGGGTGAAATCATAATACAACATCATCCATCATAAATTATTATGATTTTTTGGAGATGGCTTAAATGTTAAATTCTAAAAGGACTATTGGTATGGTTAGCCTCTCATAAACTCCATCTACATATCCTTATTTTTTGAGATCAATTTTAACTCTATAATTGGTCCTTTCATGTGGCTTGGTTAGATTTTTATTTTTATTTTTAGAGGAGAAAATTAAGGAAATTGCTTTGAATATAATTTATTCAGTTGATCAATTGATTTGACCTATTAATGGAACATGACATTTATCTCTCAAAAATCCTACAAATTGAAGTCTGTGACATTCCTCCATCAAAATCATTCATTATTTGAAAATTGTGCATGATAAGATGTCTACTAAAAGGATACTTCGAGATAAAGGTTGCTCATTAGCCTCCATCTATTGTTTTTGTAAGAACCACTCTAATTTCAACAACGTTTTTTTTCTCGATTGTCCTTTTGCAATCAAAATTTGGATGTGGTTTAGAAAAACCATCAAGACCACTCTTCAATTCAATTCTTCTAATGACATTTATAATTTTTGTACCAAGGCCCTCAATGTTCCCTAGTTTTAAAAGTTGTGATGGTATTTATCATAAATGCTATTTGAAATGTTAGGGTTTTGACAATTATCAAAAATCAAATGTTCCCTTATCAATTATATCTGTTCTTATATTTTGCCTCATGTTAAACTCTTAAGTTAATCTTACCTTTAAATCATCAATGAAATTTTTTATCATCCTTAACATTCATCCTCCCAAGCCTCCCTCAATTAAAGAAGTTCTTTGGTGTCCTCCACGTCCATAATGGATCAAATGTTGATGGAGCCTTTTCTCCTAGTCCTTCTCTATGGTGTAGAGGTATCTTCAAAGATAATAAAGGTTTATTTTTATCAACTTGAGGTATCTTCAAAGATGATAATGGTTTGTTTTTGTCGACATTGGTTCAATATTATTTTTAGATCAATTAAGATAACTAGAGACAAAGAATGGTCCAAACTTTGGGTAGAGTCGGACTCTTCTCTAGTTTTCAAGGCTTTTGTTAATACAAATACTGATTTAGTGCCTTAGCAACTTAGAATAGATGACATCTTTCCATTAAAATTACTCTCAACATGTCATTTATCATTTCGCACATATATGGAACAAAAAAAATAGTTGCATGAATTATTTTCACTTATATAGTTGCAATTCTAATTCCCTAATTTATTTTGGTCCTATTCTTTTGGTTATAAGATAAGACTATGTTTGTCTTTTTTTTAAATTCAGGTCTTATTGAGTGAGTTTGGGCTTAAGTTCCCCACTCCTTTTTGGCTTAGTTTTTCTCAATTAGAAATTTAATAGGTAAATAAGTAATTAAAATGTGAAAATTTGAAGAGACTCTTATATTAAAGGACTATAAATAAAGAAAATAAGTGATACAATTATGAACAATATTAATTTGATTTTACATGTTGTGCATTCAAATTGCACCATTTAGATATTTGGTAACAAGAGTCTACTGTGAGACAGTCCATTTAGATACTATTTGGTAACAGAGTCCACTCAATAGAGAAACAATTCTAAATAAGGTGTCACTGTAATAATAAGCCTCAACTAATAAAAAGAAGTTTGTATGACTCATAACTTTGTACTCTTTTCTCAGGCTGTGATATAAGTCTTATGAGCAGCTTCTAAAACTTCAACATTCATAGTTTATAGAATGTGACTTCAGAGAAACTTAAGCATAGGTAGGTTACTGGTTGGTGCATCTAGAAGAAGTAAAGCTGATAGATAGAGATAATCCATGATCTCACTTGTCTTCAACATCAAGACTTGAATAAACCACCTAAATGCCTGAAGAAAATTATTTCCAAACGACACTGTAACACGCCATAGTCGGCATAAAGCATCTTACTTTGGTTTGTCATTTAAGGTTACAAGCGATTTAAGCACTCCTGGATTAATCTTGTCTGCAAGAGCACCTGTATCTGATATTATAAGTGATTTTTCCTTCACAATGCTCTGTAGTTTCTTTGCCTCAAAGTCAAGCTGAGTTTGATCTGTAATTACGCACCCGTAAGAATATACCAACCGAATTTCAATAGAAATCAGCTTATAGACAAAAAAGAATTGACACGGAGATTTAGTTCAAACTTGAACTTTCAGAATAATAGTAATAATTATTGAGAAATATTCAGTCTCATCACTATCAGAACTTATGAACTACAAGTTGATGCATAATACTTAGCATTCATTCTCGATCATTTGCTTGTTGCTACTAACTACAGATTCTATTCTATTTGTTTCAGGATGAAAAACAAACTAATATAAAAGGCATTCAAGTTAAATTACAAAAAACTTACACAACGCAGTAGAGAAAAAACCAAATTTAGGTGAAATTACATTCAATTTCAACACTGTATACTTTGTAACCACGTGATGAAATTGCTCACCACAAATAGGTTGAACCTCTGAAGAGTATTATGAAAGGAAATGTATATCTTAAAAAGATTACAAAAGAAAAAGGGTTTAAAATATTCAATATTGCATCTGCATATTTACATCAAGGATACTGACGAATAATCCAGACTCCAAACTAAAGCATATACTCCAAAATTGCACGGAAGTAAAGATGAAAAAATTTCAATGATTACGGGCTTTTATCAAAAAAATAAATACTACTGAATGGCAACATAAAGAAGCATGAGTGCAGAATTGAATAAAAAACCTGTTTCCAATATAGTATGAGCAGCATGAAATGGAATTCCAACAAACAGATCAGTTCCTGAAAACATTGTCCACGTCTGCTCAAAAGAGTCATGGTTACCACAGGTGGTACACACCTCTTGCACCAAAGGTCTTGAAACTCCCTTCATTATTGATCCAAAAGGAGATGGAACACTACTCGTTGTTGTTCGAGCCTTTTTCCTTAATGCAGTAAGTGCTTCTCTGTTCCCATTCCTCAACTTATCATTCTCAACCAGCTGCAAATTAACCAAAACGATAAAACTGCATACCCACTTAATTTTATAAAGATTTTAATCAAGGGATCCAATAGAGGGAAAACAGCCTTTGTTAACATAACAACAAAACATATTTTGATTGAATTGAAACTACTGAATTTAAGGCAGTTAATGACACCATATTGGAAATGTGGAAGTCATTTTTGGGATTAAGTGAATAATTACTTTTACACACAAAGCAAATGATATGAGTAATTGTACACATTGTTGGTTCTTCTATTACTTTTTATTGTGAAGTTCATGTTCGGGGTTTGGTTTGACACTTCGATACATAATTGTCAATTGTAGATAGCAACATTGAGTGGTAAGCGCTCTAATTTGATCCAGATCATGGGATGGCATGCTACTCAAAAGATAATGGAACAATAAACATATATATTGCCTTTCGTAGATTTTTTGTGTTTAGTGTGCAGTTGATGTTTGGATTCTGATTTTATATTCTCACTGTTTTTGTTTACCATCAATGAAATTCCTGGCTTGAAGTCTTTAACACTGGTAAGGGAGTTGAGTATTTTTTAAGTTCTATGAGACCTAGAATGGACCATCAGGGAGAAGGTTGAGCAGAAGCCACTAAGTAGAAGGTCAAAAATAGGCTTGTCTTGTCTGGAAAAGATAACAAGGAACACTAATGAGAAGGAAGTAACGCAAAAGACACCTAATCTAATAGCCATCTACCATGGATCATATTTACTATTGTTGTTCATTAGAAATATATTTGTCCAAATACACTGGTTGATTGGTCAAGGTTAAGCAATTCATTACATTGAATAGAAAGGTGCTTTACATAAGATTTTAAGAAAATGTTCCCCTAATATCATTTCTCTTCAGGTGCTATTTTCTGGCTTAAGTAATTATCATTTCATTTTGTATGGCTTTTAGCTTTTATTCAAAAGCAACGAATGTAATGGCGGGCCTTAGTCTATTAGGCACATTTTTCAATTGAAAAAAGATACTTTTTAAAAATAATACATAAACTAATCTTGGTTTCCTTTTTCATCAAGCCAAGAACTTAATCCGGGTTTCCAGCAGGATGAAGAGTGATCAATGATAAGGTCATAGTATAGTTATAAGAAAAGTACTATCAGCTCATTCAATTGAATACATCCATACAATATAGCCCGATTGAGTTAAGGGGCACATAAGTATATTTTTCTAAATAAGAACAGCATCCATAAACTATCTGGCTTAGAACCAAGGACATGTTGGGGCTGCCGGAAGAGGCCCAACCCATGGAAGCGATGCACAGGCTTAAATCACAAGCAGTCTCCTTCAGTAGTAGATACTCAACTTGCCAATGAGAGCCAGCGGATCACTCTGGTTAGGGTTGCCCACAATGGGATATTTAAGTGGTTTCAGAGGGATTTGATTTCTCGTAAATGAGCCGGAGAAATTCCTAAGCATGGTCCTTAACCAGTTATGCCAAACACTAAAACATATATATAACTCTTAGGCGTGTTTGATTTGCTAAAAAACAAGGGACCAGACTGGAAGTGAACTATAATGTATAATCAGTTAAATACTTAACTCCTACTCTCCCTAAAACTTCGATATCATCTATTGCTATTTGCTACTAAAAAATACTAGTATCAATGTTTTGTAATAATATTGAAAAAAGCTATATATACCCTATTCTAAATCCCTTCACAAATCAATCCAACCTCTTCATGGTCTCAAGAGACTATTCGAAGGCATCAATAGATTACAATAGCACACATACTTCATAAAAACCTACCAAAAAACTATAGTATACCATATTTTGGTTATAAGTGTTTATGCTAGCATGAGTCAACTTGAATATGAAATTTGTAATTACCTGATGTCGGGCTAAAAGAAGATGTTCAGCTTCGAGTTCCAATTCTGTTAATTTGTTTTGAAAATGCTTCATGCTGTCATTCATATTTGAAGAAAAGAAGCTCCTGAAAAGTTGTAAACAAAATAATATCTTGAGAATCGAAAACAGCAACATAAAAGTAACGCATTCGCACAATACTCATTAAAAATAATAATAAAGATTTGAAGAGTTTTAACTACAATCTAGAAACTTTAGTAACAGCAACACAGTTTATTTTTATCAAACTACACAAACACATGAACATTAAAGAAAGAGAAAAAAAACGTGGATTACCAGATACGGTGAGTTGTTATTGTTGTGGTGAAGAGGGTGGTAGAGGGTGTTAATGTTGCTTTTGGTTTGTATTTCCTACTGATATGTTGCTGTTGTTGTATGTGATTGTTGTAAATGGTGGATGAAGCAAGTGGGTGTTTGAAGAAGGAGATGTGATGAAGGTTGTTAGTGGTAGTTTCTAGATGCTGGTACGCCGGCGCTGCGTGTGGCAGTTTTCCGGCCAGTGGCGGTTCTCCGGCGAGAAAAAAGTGAGGCCGAATTTAGATCTGTTTCGGTATTGTTGGTGGTATATGTGTTTTGAAAGTGTTACTGTAATTTTGTTCTAATTTATATATTCAAAATTATGTGGTGGTACTACATTGTAAGATGCATATTATTAGTTTATTTTTGTTACTTCTTTGTGCTTCCTTAGTTTTCTCTAGCAGAACACTAATTGAGTTTTATTGTTTTCAGCTTTAAAATTTAATACAATAATTATTATTATTTTATAAATAGCATTTGTAAGAGAGATAAATGAATATAATTAAATTATAAATAGAAAATGATATTAAAATAAATAGATAATTAATTTCATAAAAAGAGTAATAAAATTTATTGATATAGTAATAATAACCCTAAAGTATAAATAATACAGTAACATAATTTTAAAATTTAATACTATTGACTATGATTTTGAAAATAATAAAAATAGCATTTTATAAAGATAGTTGTCATTTTAAAATTTTAATATAATATAAACTATTATTTTAAAAATAGCATTGCTGATTATTTATTTGATAAAAATAAATAAATGAAATTATTAGCTTTTTTAAAAAAAAAAATCTTGAAAAATGTAGAAACATTTACATAAAATGTAATAAAAAATTGAAATATACATAAAATGTAACAAAAAATTTCTATAAATAAAAATTATTAGCTAAAAAACGTTTATTCAAATAGAAAGAACACAATAAAAAATCGAAATATTTGAATTTAATTAATTAAAATATTCAAATTTGATCAAATCATTAATTTAAAAACATTTTGATATTTATTAGAAAATGAAACATAAATAGAAATAAATAAAATTGAATTTCTTTATAAAAAAGTATTTTAAGTTATAATAAAATTGAATTTCTTTATAAAATAAGTATTTTAAGTAATAATAAAATTGGATAACCTAAAATTTTATAAATTAATCTGATTAATTAATTTTCTTAATCGGAAAGTATTTCAAATTATTTATTATCTAATATGCCTAATTAGGAAGAAGATTTGATAAATTAATCTTTATATTTATATAATACATATTTTATAATCATTTTCTTATTTATATATCATTATTATTTAAATGTCATTGTAAACCTTGGATTTTTGTTAACTTGTGCAAGTTTTAAAATCGAAAATTTTAAATTTGGATCTTCTTTTTTTTTATATATCATGTCATCTCTCATGTTTCTAATCTAACGGTTCAAAATTTATAATAAATAATTAAATAAAAAAATAAAAACAAATTACTTATTTATTTCTCTCTCCTATTAAATAATTTTTTTATTTAATTATTTATTATAAATTTTAAACCGTTAAATTAAAAATATTAGAGATCACATTATATATAAAAAAAAAAAAAAAAGTAAAGATTCAAATTCTAAAATTTTGCATTCCCACCAAATTAATTGTCATCCTATTATGACTAAATGCTACCACATCATATAAAGTCAACTACCTAATATAAGGGGAAAAAATTCATACTTTGCTACTTTATAATTTATATCACATCCATTGCCTCGTCTTTCAATTTCTTCAACAACTTTTTTAAATATTCCAAACTCTGAGACGACAAAATCCAATCCATTATACATCTTATTAAAATAAAAAGTAACAACATGTTCAGAATCAAAATATTATCAAATGTCACCAATTGGATTATGAATGCATTAGTAACTGTACTATATACACCACACCACATAAAGCGTGAATTAATAACAACATTAATAGTAGCATTATATCATATGCAATGAAAAATGTGACAGAAATATGATGTTTTATATTATGATATTTGATACAGAAATTGGTGACATTTGATTTTGATAATATTTTGATTCTGAACATGATAGTCACTCTTCCTAAAATTTTGATTCTGAACATGATACCCACTCTTCTTAAAATTTTAAATAATTCTTAATTTATTATATAAAAAATATTAATTAATAAATTATCCTACTCATTAATAATATATCACTAAAAATTAATTTTTTAGGTGAAAAGGACCACAAAAATGCAAAGACTATCAAAATTACAGAAATAAAACCGTTGATTTTATCAATAACATATTATTAAAAAATATTTTTTTAGGTGGAAGGGGACCACAAAAATCCAAAGATCGTCAAAATTAAGGGAGTAAAATCGCTGATTTTATAATAGGGAAACCAATTATTTAAAACTCTCAAACTAAAGGGACCAAAAGTGCATTTAAGTCTTAAATAAATAATTCTTGATTAATTTCTTTTGAAATTAAAAAATATTTATGTACTAATAATTAAAATATATTTAATATTTATTAAAATTTTCTTAAAATTATATAATCATTGTGACATTAATATATATATATATATATATATATATATATATATATATATATATATATATATATATATATATATATATATATATATATATATATATATATATATATATATATATATATATATATATATATAAAATAATTTCTATATCAATAATTCATGTAAATAAAATACTCATTAATTAGCAAATAGTCACACTATATTTCTTATGTTTTTTTTTTCTTCCAAAAATTTTTCTTCTCCACACAAAGGTATTTCAATTGTGTTCAAAAAATCTATTTTCTATTGGCCAAGAGAGATTTTTATGAGATTCTTAATCATCTATATATATATATATATATATATATATATATATATATATATATATATATATATATATATATATATATATATATATATATATATATATATATATATATATATATATATATATATATATATATATATATATATATATATATATATATATATATATATATATATATATATATATATATATATATATATATATATATATATATATATATATATATATATATATATATATATATATAATCATTATTTATTATTACGTGTCAAGCACCCAATTTGATCTAATATTTTAATCTTACATTTTACAAGGTAAATTCATCACAAAATCAAGTAACACATCAAGAACTTCAAACTTTCAAATCCTTTGTCTTCATACATTTATGGCTAAACTCATTTATTCAAACATTCAAGAACATTATGTTCATACATTCATAGCAAAATCCACATATAGTCACCTAGATATTTAAATATTCAAACCCACTTTGTTCATACATCCATAAAGATATCTAGAAAATTACCCACGCATTCAAACATGTAAACTCATTTCGTTCATACCATACCAAAAAAATAATTCTAACATTCTAACTCATCTCATTCATCCTTTTATAATGAAATTCATAACATTAACAATATCCCCAAACACTCATCACATTCATATTCATTTCTTCATAGCGTTACCTAAAAAAATCTAAACAATAACCAACATTCATACTCATACTTGGAATTTCATATTTTATATCACATATTAATCCACAAATTCAAATTTTTTTCACTCATGATCACGTTCACTTTTCCCAACTTTCTTCAATCTTTTTTAGACTACTGACTGTTATTGCCATCGTATGGTAGTACATAGGTATTTTAAAATCATGATCTATATTGAAAGAATGAAAGATGGTGCCCAAATATTTTAAAAAGATGGTTTTTTTTCTCATAGAATTTCTTTTTTTTAAAGACATTCTTTTGAAATATTCATAAAATAAAATATTTTAAAAAATATTTTAATGATTTTTTTGTTGATTAGTAAAATGAAGATTTAAGTTATTGCTTTATATGATATTAAGAAAGAATTTTGATGCTCAAAGCTCCTCCAATGCATACAAACTTACAAAATAAATTGCAAATGATCGAACTGCACAATATGTACACAAAAGTTGAAATTTACCTAAAAAAATCAAATGAAACAAATTAATAGGTGCCACAAAACTACACACATATTTAACACAATTTGACGCTTATCAAACTCTCTCCAACTTAAAACTTTATTTGTCCTCAAATAAGAATCTTACAAACCTAAAGAAATAAAAGAAACTACCAAGAATTCGTGATCAAACAAGTTTTTAAAAACGGAAGCAAATGCATGGATCAAATTTTAAAAGTACAATCAAAGTAATGCTTGCCACTATACTACAACGACATCATGATCATGAAACAAATTCTAAGCATAAAACACATGTCAAAAATTCTAAAGCAACACATTTTCAAATATGAATCACACCTAACACACAACTTCATAAATGGATGAAGAACAAATATGAGGGACTTTACTCACACCCAACAATCTTGCTAACATCTTGTTCAACTTACGCATTCATAAAAAAAACTCATATTGAAAGCATAAAAGCACAAATCATAAAAGGGCTTTCAAGAGTTGTAATGCGGCTTGGTTAACAAATAAGAGTCATTTTTCAAGATAATTGAAACAAAATTTGGCTGAACAATTGAGAGTGATCACTTCTCAAACTCACAAGCATTCACAACTTCATCCACCTTTTTCTCTTTGCTCAATTGTTATACCCTTGAACACAACTTATTAGCACCAAAAGTTTGCTATTTTTTTCTTTTTCAAGGCTTTTTCTTTTTCTTTTCTTTTTCACTTTTCTTTTCTTTCTTTTT